TCAAAATTTTGATTGATACTTTTGGCACTAAATTAACTCCATATTGAACGCCACCCGATTGCTGGACATGAGGGTGACATGTTGATTTGATGGTCCCTGGGGGATGCCCCCCTGGTCCAGGTGGAGGGTAGGTCCCAGGTTGAGGCCCGGAACCAGGCGGAGGGTAGGATCCGGGTGCCGGACAGCCGACTGCAGGATTGCAAAACAAGGTCAGTGGCAGAGGCGAAACAGGCCTGATGATTTCTAAATTTCCAAGGAAGAAAAAAACACTACAATGACTGACAGCAATTAAGAATTACCTTGATTGTGACCAGACATGTTCAGATATGAAAGCTGAAAAGGGGAGAGAGAGAGAGAGAGAGAGAGAGAGAGAGCAGTCATTACCTCACAAACATGACGGGTTTCTCTGACAGCACACAATAGGATCATAGCAGTGAGTGACAGATGATAACCACTGCTAGCCCGAGCCACTCCCTTTCCCTTCTTACCTGTTTCCTCCCTTTTAATCCTTTATATGTCTCTTTTTCCTAATGATGATAGTCAATCAGAAATTGTCTCTGTCCTGATTAATAGTCACCAGCAGCAGAGGATCAGAAAGGAGTCAAAAAGAAAAACATATTATCAGTTATTAGCATAGAATCTTGTGTGTGAAGGGAATAGCTGGAGTTTCTGTTTCAACACTGGCAATCCAAGTCAAACACATCCCATTCTAATGTAGCTTGTGAGTGGTGCCCCCTTGTGGTCAATACAGAACGCAGACCAGCTTGGCCTGTTCACAACTTTTAAAAACATTATTGTGAGCTTAGGTATGGAGTCAGAATTGAAACCACTGCACAGTCTGTGGACAGCAAAATACAATAAATCTGAATTTATTTTTGTGAAACAAATCTGTCAAAGACTAGAAAGTAGTTTCAGTCAACACAGAAAAACAATCTTTAAACACTACACCAGACATGGGCAAACTACGACCCGCGAGCCATATCCGGCCCGTTTAGTTTTTTAATCTGGCCTGCCGAATTTGTGTAAATTTTATTATTTACACTAGAATCCCTGAAGCCTACGAAAATTCTCACACGTACCTCGGGTGGAGCCCCCCCCACCACTCCCCACACAAACTGCCCGCCCCCTCATCAGCGCCAATCAACACCTAGACGACTCTTTATTTGGAAACATTTATTTTCTTACTTTACAAATTACTGTTTTGATAAATGTGCTTAGATATGTTTAGTACAGTATATGCTTTTGTTTTATCCAGTTCATTTTGTGTTAAGATGCTAAAAAAAAAACATATTTAGGTATAATTTTTTGGGGCCTGGGAACCAATTAATTGGTTTTCCATTATTTCTTATGGGGAAAATTCAATCACAACTCGAACTTTTTAGGATTTGATCCGGAGTTCTGAACGGATTAAATTCGAGTTCTGAGGTACCACTGTACATTCCTACTCACTGTCGGCCTCTCTACATGAAGTGCACTGGGACAGGTCTATTCTGGCACTGTGGAGTTGACACTACTTGCCTTGCCTTCACCAAGGGTGTTAACCTCAAGCAAGATGTCAGGGTGCTTTGTCCCAAACCTCTTGCACTTAGCCGTCAAGCTACAGTACATTGAACATCTGGATGAATGCAGTCACCTCTCCACCATCAGCTATGAGTCATTATCCAGGTCTCCTTCTGTTGACTAGACAGATGATGGAAGGTACAGCACTGATTCATGTAATGCCGAACAGTATTACAGAAGGGACAGAACTTCTTAGGTCTTTCCCAGGGGTCCAGAGAAACTGTCATGTGGCTGAGCCTCGTGCTTGTTGTCTTTCTGCTAACTGCCATGAAGGACAGTGGCAGTTTTAGAGGAAGGTTACAGCTGCATGTGCCTTTCCCTACAGAAGGTCTGATGCTCTTTACATTGTCCAGCAGCCTCAACTGATGGGCCATATCCCTGTATCCTTACTTCATATTCAAGTCACTTGGACAAGCGATGGCAGGTTAGTATGGGAGAGACAATAGATCTCAGGTCATGTAGCAACTAAGGCCATAATCTGGAGATATGAGACCCAGAACTCAACTGTTAAACCTTCACAATCAAGCTGATCTAGCATTTTAAGAAGTGCACGGAACATCAATGCAAACCTCCTAAATCCTCTGATGTCTCTGGTTCTAATGTTCGGCCTGTCCATCAGCTTAGCAATATGCCATAGGGCAAGTTGGTGTGTAGTCCATACAGTTCAGTGAGGGCTCTCATTCTGTCACTGCATGGATATTTGCCGTTACTGTAAGACTTGTTGCCTGAGGCTGTTCAAGCCCATTTCAATATTTCACAAAGGTACACAATCAATTGTCTGCCTCTTCATTAATCAGAGGTAGACTGATGCTATCCTATACAGCAAAGGAATTGGGGATGTTCTATTAGCTAAACAGGCAGACAGGTCCTGCCATGAGTAGCGGCATGTCCTAGGTGCTTTCTTTGCTGTTAGCCTACATCGTAGTCCATCAGATAATGTGAACTGCGAGTTGTATGGATAGATCGGGAATTGCCTTTTCCAAATCCACATTACACATGTTGACTGGTTAGGCTAACTCCCAAGAGGTTTAACCAATGGGCAGACCCCCCTCTCTAGTACCCTGGCATAGACCTTTCCAGGGAGGCTGAGGAGTGGGATCTCCCTGAAGTTGGAACACCCCCTGGAGCCTTAGAGTTTTGGCAACTTCAGTGACCTCAGCCGCTGTGATGGGTAAGTCCACTTCTAAGTCTTCCAGCTCTACTTCCTCCGAATAAGGCATATCAGAGGGATTCAGGAGGTCTTCAAAATATTTCTTCCACCATCTGATTATACCCCCTTTTGAAACAGGTGCTGACCTGTTTGAGCTTGATGGGAAACAGTACTTGGAACTTGTTGACTACTATTCATTTGACAATAACATAGCCCATTTGCCATCCTAGGGCCACCCTAATAACTGCTAGATACCAGGGCCCAGCTCTGCTTGCATTGGGATGTCAAATTGGGACCAAACTTCCAACCCTCATGGAAAATCATCTGCCCTCTCAAATCAATCCTCAATTGGTGAGAGAAAAGAATGAAGAAACAAAGCAGGCTTACTGTTTCTTCTGCAACAGAAGGCATTTAGCATAAGATTTATCAGACCTACACCCTGGACAGAACGTGAACGTTAAGGTGGATGGTGAGAAGGGATGGAGAACTTGTGCAGTCATTGTTTTGAATCCACCTGACCCAAGGTCTTACATGGTGAAGAAAGAACATGGCAAAATCATGCAGGATATTGAGACACCTTCAACTGATTCCTGAAATAGCAGGCCTGGACAGTGAGCCATGAGAGAGCAATGTCCAAGCGTCATCTGCAGTCACAAAAGAACCAGTCTTCCTTTGTTCCACCTCAGACATTCCAGAGTGTCCTCCCTCAGCGGAAAAAAACACAACTAACACTGGTGTTTACTTGGACTGCACAGTGTCGATGTCTACAAAATTAACAGCTAATTAATGGTTTGTTACGAAACAAACTTCTGGAGGGGAGGTGTAGTGATAGTGCTTGTGCTGACATGTACAATGTACATGTGAAATGTAAGGTTATCAAATTATGGATACAATCTGTATGCTAAATGTGAGATACACAACATTGGATTGTACTTCCCACAGAGAATCAGTAAAATTCACAGAAACCTTTAAACTTACATCTCCAAGTTGCTATATTTCATGACACTCCAGTTTCTTCCTGCCATCCAAAACCATGATGTTAGGTGAACTGGTGTCTCCAAGCTCACTATGACCCTGTACTGGATTGGGCCTTATAAAAGACACACTGATGAATTTGCAGTAATATGTAACAATAAGCAGTATGAACTCGGTACAATCCCAGTTCATCTTAATCACCCAAAATTATAAGATCCACCCATCCATCTTCCTTAACCGCTGACCCAGTACAGGGTCATACTGATTTATAAAGTATTTCGCCATAGTGTGTATTTTTCATAGATACGTTGTTGAGGGTGCCAGGAGAAGATCTATACCAGAGGCTCATTTGCAAATTTTAGTGAAGTTAGTGAATTTGCTTTTGTTTAGAGAAACATCACCCTATGTGACATGGCAGGTTTCAAAGTCACCTTCCGATAAAAGCATCTGCTAAACAGACAAATAGCAACAACAAAAAGAACAGAAAACCCACACAATGATAATCATGCTGATAACTGTACCAATAGTAAATGAGGAAAATAATGCCTATAGTCATGGAAACACGTAATGTTCCGTGACAACACCTTCTTTCACACATAGTCATGTGGGTGCGGTCAGGAGTGGCACCACGCTCATAAACACCACAGGTCCTCCATTCCCAAGGAATCCGCGGGGAACGCTGCGGACACACTCTGCTAGCAGGCTGTAAGTACACATTCTCTGCTGTTTCACTGTGTATCTACCCAAAGCTCAATATGCTGCTGACTTTAAAGGAAAACCACCATTTTTAACAATCGTTTCTAATGTGAGCTGATTTGCATCACTGTGCACCTGGCTTGGCTGATATGTCTAACTCAATGTATGCTGAGTACAGTGTAGTGTTTAAAGATTGCTTTTCTGTGGTCACACTAACTGAAACTACTTTCTAGTCTTTGACGAATTTGTTTCACAAACATAAACTTGGAATTATTATTTATTGTATTGGTTTCAATTCTGAGTCAGCCAAAACACAATGGTTTTAAAAGCAGTGAGCAGGCCAAAATTTTTGATCACTTTGTTGTTCTGTGTCAACCACAAGGGGGCAGCACTCATAAGGTGCACTTTAGGGTGGGACGTGTTTGAGTTGGGCTGACAGTGTTCAAACAGGAACTCCAGCTATTCCCTTCACATACACAGGACTGCATGCTGATAACTGATAATAGGTTTACCTTTTTGATACCTTTCTGATTCTCTGCTGTTTGTTACTATTAAACTTGACGGAGACCAATTTCTGATTATCATCATTAGGAAAAAGACACATTCAAAAGATTAAAAGGGAAGAAACAGGTAAGAAGGAGAAACCCACTGCCATCTGTCACTCACTGCTATGATCCTATTGTGTGCTGTCAGAGAAACCCGTCATGTTTGTAAGGTAATGACTGTTCTCTGTCTCTCTTTCTCCCTGTTTCAGATTTCACATCTGAACATGCATGGTCATCACCACCACCACCATCATCATGGTAATTCTTAATTGCTGTCAGTCATTGCAGTGGTTTTACTTTCTTGGAAGTGAACTTTAGAGATCATCTGGCCTGTTTCACCTCACTTTTGTTTCGGAATCCTGCAGGCTACAATATGGGTTTCCAGCCAGGAGGCTATGTGGCACCCGGAGCCTACGTCTCTCCTGGAGCCTACGTCTCTCCTGGAGCCTACGTCTCACCCGGAGCCTACGTCTCTCCTGGAATAGGAGGGGCTCTCCCAGGGGGCGTCGTGCTACCAGCTTATGCTCCTTCCCCATACCAAGCAGTCGGTCTTCCAGCCATTGGCCTTCCATGGGGACATAGGCACCATCACGGCCTTGGTCTGGGCAACCTTCTTGGCCTTGGTTTCGGTCATCATCACCATCACGGTCATCATCACTGATCCACTGAGCCTCTTACTCATAGAGATTTATAGGGCTGCTACCATATTATGATAATGATATTGCCGTTATTATCAGCTAAACATTATTATTTCATATTTTGGACTTTCTCTGCTGGCCTCAGGAGGTTGGGCTCTCCCTTGGAGTTTGGTTCCTCCCAAGATTTCGTCCTACTGGGGAGTTTTTCTCTGCCACTATCGCCTCTGACTTGCTATCTTGGGGCTTTTGGGGTATGTAAACCACTTTGAGACATAGTGTCACAATGCTGTGTATAAAAATAAATTGAATTTAATTAAACGTAATATCTGGGGTTCAGTTGTGAAGATGAAAATGAAAATGTGTTATTCCAACTTTGCTTAATGTGTCCTCGTCAAACAAAAGGAATAGCTTTATACAACTTGATCTATTCTTAAATGTTTTATTGTTTGACAGAATAAAGAGAATTTGAAAGAAACATGAAACTGAATTCACAGATCTTTTATTCAGTTATTGAAAGTATGAAATAAAATATTATCTCTCATACAGACTACAGACCTCAGTGTTTGGAGACAGCTAAAACTATAATATCAGATAGAATATTGTAAATTATTGGGAAGCACTGCATCAAATATTCATATGTATTCAAGCCACTTACACAATGCAGGGTCATGGTTGGCCTGGAGTCTGTCCCAGGAAACACAGGGCATGCTCACATGTTATGGGCAATATAAAGACACCAGCTCACCAAACTTCACGGGGGAAGAGACCCTCAGAACACAGGGAGAACATGCAAACTGCAAAGACAGAGGCAATCAATACCCAACTACGGGTGATTATAGGGACTCTGGGGGCCCTAGGCAAAAAACTCCACAGGGCCCTCCGACTTACCCTCCCCCGATATGGTAAGATCAGCGTGAAGTCTAAATTAATAATATCAACAAAGAGAATTTAATAAACACAAGTCTGTTCTTTTCACGATTGTAAAAACTACACACAAATAAAGCAGATTTGTCATTGCAATGCACCATGCAATCGCCGCCATGGGGGTCCGTCCCAGATTGACACTTGTCTGGCCTGCCTGCCTTGTCACTTCGCCTCTGTTACCACACTAAAGGTGAGTGGCTACAATGATCCACCATGGAACCTCTACTTCCTAACAGTAACCGCCTAATGACTTTTCATGCCTGTTTTGCTGCTCTACACTGAGACTCAGCTACTTGCAAAATTCATCAATGTGAAAATAATCATTTTCTACATCCAGACAAACCAAGCCAGGGATCTCCAACTTTTCTGCAGTGAGACCTACTTTTCAAAACAACGTCATATATGAAAGTATCATCCCCCACCTTTTGTTCCAATCAAGTTGTGAATAGCAGAGTTTTGAATTGTTTATCTGTTCTTCCAAAAATCTCCACAACATGGAACCCTTGGACAAATCTTGTCCAGTAGGTGGCAGACTCTCTAAAGCAAGATGAGCGTATGGTGCCCTGTGACGCAATCCCACGTGCGTCCCGACGCAGTCACATGTATGTCCAGATGTGCCTTCACTGGAAGTGGCTGGCAGCACAGTCCTTTGGTGCTGTTCAGATGAAAGTTCAGTTCTAAATAAACAAATCGCCAGATATGGGACGAAGTCACATATGTACACCCGTCACAAGTAAGCCACAAGTAGTGATGTAATGGTGAAAAAGGTGGATATGCCGCACATGTTCATGCTGACACCCTCACGCGCCATTGAAACAAGGTGGAATAATTACCTAATACCTTTACAAGGCTGCAGTACCACTGCAACCATATCATCATCATCATCATCAATTGAACAAGACCCGACGCAGCTGCACAGTCATGCTCCCACTGCCTACTTTCACACAGTTGCATTTGCTTGGTGCCACTGCCCTCCATTTCCCCCATCACAATGAAAGCGACATTAAGTCTGTCAATTCACACTGTCTTGTACAATTTTAAATTGGGCCAGCAGTGTAATATTTTGGATATGTGTTGATATTGGGTATTTTGTATGTTAAAATCTCCAACAACTTTATCTACATGAATGAACAAGCTTGTTAATAAATCAGTGAATTCCTTTATCAAATCACTCTAGGGACCAGGAGGCCTATAAACATTGACCGCAGTCAGTTATATTAAAGACCATAAGTTCAAATGTGTTGAATTCGTACCCTAATCACTCTGTGATACCTAATTTGCAATCAAAGATAACAGCAACACCACCACCTCGAGATTTCAATCTGCTTCTGTGCCTTCATACTTGTCTGTCCATAAATCAGACACACTCCCACTTTTTTGGACTCTAGGTGACGACTCTGTGCACTTAGCAAATAGTTGGTAAAGCCAGTCAGTTGGCGGCCTGGACTTAAATCAACATTTTGACCTAAGACTATTTGCTGTGTTTTCAGAGAGGAACTCAGCACCCGCCCACGACAGGTGAAGGATGTCTCTCTTTAAAACCCCAAACTCATCCTAAAAGTCTACCAATTGTTTATAAAAGCCACATCATTTACTGGGCACCATTCAGACAGCCAGCGATTGAATGTGCCCTGCGATGGGCTGACCCCCCATCCAGGGTTGTTCCCCACCTCGTGCCCATTGCTTCTGGGATAGGCTCCGGACCCCCCGTGACCCAGTAGGATAAGCGGGTTGGAAAATGGATGGATGGATATTGGGTACTTTGGATATGGAGAAAAGCACATGCTGTGCTCAGAGAAGGCTGCTTTACTTGAGCCTCCAGCACTCAGTCCCTCTTGACCACCTAGTCTCTAGCATCCTGCCCCCAGGGAGCCTTTTGCTGGAGGCTCCAGCGAAGACAATGGAGTAAAAAAGACAATGCACCAAAATGTAAAACAACTTGCATTGCACAACCAGAAGATAAGCAAGACCTTTCATCTCAATGGAATGTATTATATAACCATGTAACATTTGTCACAGACTTTTTCCATCATATGTCATATCCTCTAATGACATGATTCAACCAGGATTCCACAACTGATGTTAACATAGGCAGATGAAGCAAAATACTTTGAGGCAATGATTGCTAAAATGAATGGCCATTTTGTGTCTTAGCACAATGTTATTCATGAACGAGCTCAAAAGAACGGAGAAAATGTTGAGGCATTTGTTAGAAGCCTGTATGAATTAGCCGATTACTGTAAGTTTGGAAACACAACGGATGAGCAGATACATGATAAAATAGTAATTGGAATCACTGCCAGTGACATATCTCAAAAACTACAGCTAGAGCCTGGACTGGAGAAAGCTATTCAGATAGCTCATGAATCCAAACTCATTAAAAAACAGACTCTTGAAAAGCAAACAGAATGATAAGTGGACGAAGTGAAACAAAACCCCAGGAATTTCAGAAAGTTTGACAAAGGCATGGCAGGAAAAGGGACATTTGATAAAGTAAAATTTAATGAGTCAAAAGAGGGGTAGTGCACTCGATGTAATCGTGAGCACGAGGTTGGAGTCTGTCCTGCATTTGGGAAAAGATGCAGAAAACAAAACCAGACACTTTGTAGTAATGTGCAAAACTAAAAATATGAAGGCATTTACCACTGCATTTACAGCTGAGGATGGTGCATTTTTCTAACTAACCATTGCTGGTGAATCTGATGCAAACAAAAAGTGGTAAGTGTTTGAAAACAGATACAAGCACAGACCTCATGGTCATTTCAGAGAACACAATCTTCAGCCTTCCTCTGTGCCCAGCTCTGCACTACTGCTGATGTAAGAAGCCTGGCTGATAAACTACAGTGTATAGGAAAACGTGTAGCTATTACTAAGTGGAAGGGACATAAATACACTTGTGAGATTTTTGTTGTAAACGGCCCATCTACTCCATTGCATTGTAGCATATAACATGGGGCTTGGACTGAGAATGGATGAGCTGAAATATAACAGTGATAATGTCTTTTTTAACACTTGATGCCTCCAGCAGATTTTGGTAGATTCAGGTTGACTCCAGTGGCCAAAAGCTGCCTACCATCATGAGACCAGTGGAAGGGTTCTGCTTCTAGAGGCTTCCCTTTGGGATGACCTCCACTCCTGAAAATTTTCAGAGAGAGATGAGCACACTTTTGTGTAAACATAAAGGCACGGTGGTGGTGATGGATGGTGTCCTGGTTTAAGTGAAGACTTCGAAGTAACATGATCAAAATCTCAAAGCTGTAATGCAAAGAATAAAAAAATCAGGGTTGATAATCTACAAAGAGAAGTGGCACTTTGCACAGCCTGCGATCCAGTGTTCCGGCCATGTCGTCAGAGCTGATGGAATAAAGCCAGACAGCAGCAAGGTCAAAGCAATAACAGTGTTGCTTAGTCACTGAACATTGCCTAATGCTGTCTACAGTAAATTATTCAGCAAAGTTTCTCTCTTTCATTGATGCTGAAGAGCGATGCTCAATGGATGTGGGTAGGTTCCCAGGATGAAGCTTTCCATGAAGTGAAAAGGATGTTGGTCACAGCACCTGTGCTGGCTTACCATAATGCCAACAAACCAACGGCGATGAGTGCAGACACAAGTGGTTAAGGTTTGGGGGCCACTCTTCTGCAAGACCAGGGAGACAGACTATGTTCTCTTGCTTTCTGCTCAAGCACCTTGACAGAGTCGGAGCACAGGTACTCCCATATTGAAAGGGAATGCATTGTGAGGGTCGGGGCATGTGAACAATTCTGTTGCTACCTACAGGGAATGGAAAGCCTCCATCTCAAACCTGACTATGAGATTCTTGCCACATTAGTCAACTCGTTTGATCTGGACAAAGCTCCTCCGATGTGTCAATGTTTGCTGATGCACCTCATGAGATTCAATGCCCAGGCAGTACAAATACCAGGAAAATGGCTCATAATGGCAGACACTGTCTAAAAACCCACTAAAAGATAATGCCACATCTCACAGAGCTGCGGATGTCAAGTCGTATGTGCAAGCAGTGATGGCCAGGAAGCAACTTGCATGGATGAGGATCATTGGGTACGTCCATCATGGTTGGCCTAAAATTACATCACAGTTACCATACTTACTGGACGCTTACCATGCTGCAAGACCAATCTGTTGTTGTATGATGATAGAATTGTCATTCCTGTGTCACAACACAACGAAATACTGCAGAAACTTCATGAAGGACATTTTGGTTTGACCAAGAACAGAGAAAGAGCTAAAATGTCAGTATGGGGCCTGGAATGGGACCTGACATAATCAAGTGTGTGGCAATGGGTGAGTTGTGCATGAAGAACAACCCAACAGAGAGAGCCGTCATTGACAACTCCACTGGCAAGCGATCCAGGGCAGAAGATAGGTGATGACCTGCTTGAGCTAGATGGGAAGCAGTATTTGGTAGTTGCTGAGTAATTTTCATATGACATAGCCCATTTGCTGACTATAACCAGCCAGCAGGTGATAACCTGAAGAGTATGTTTGCATGGTAGAGTACTCCATTCAATATTTTCGCAGATAATACACACAGTTCAAGAGAGCTAATGACTTCAATCATGGCACCTTAAGCCAACATAACCCCCAGGCAAATGGTGCTGCAGAAAGAGCTATGTAGACCACAAAGCAAATTTTGAGACCGCCTGACTCACACCATGCCAAGTTCAGCTTGATGATGAGATAGGATGGGGAACTCCTGCTGATTGTTTCGAAAGCACCTGACCCAAGGTATTACATGGTCAAGAAAGAATATGGCAAAATCACACGTTGCAAACGAAGACACCTTCAACTGATTCCTGAAATAGCAGGCCTGGAAAGTGAACCATGAATGCCCCTTCTAAAACCAACAAATAACACCGATGTTTATTTGGACTGCACAGTGTCAATGTCTACAGAATGAACAGCTAATTGATGGCATTCTGGACCTGCTGTAGATTTTGTAATATGTTTCTTAGGTAAACCAGACATAAGCACGAGCCCTGTAATAGCTTGATGGTTTTTGATATAGGTATCAACTGCAGCACAATATTCACGCCCACTTAGATAGGATCTGAATCAGTCTAAGGCCATACCAGAGAGGCCAACACAGGTATGCAACCGGTTCAACGGAATCTCGTGGTCTACTGTGTGAAAGGCAGCACTGAGATCTAGAAGAACAAGAATGGAGAGGTTACCTGAGTTTGTTTAATGTTTACAGGTTTTATTTTACACTTTCAATTATCTTCCTTTTAATACCTTACTTATTTCTTTTTATCCCAGAACATCTAATCTCTTTTTAATCTCTATTATTTTATTATTTATTGTTCTATCTATTTTTATCCTCCTTTTATCCTCCTGTTGAATGCTTTCCTCCTCTTGTGCATGTTTTCTCCACATACTCCAGTTTATTCCTGCAGTTTAAAAACGTGAGGTTAGATGAACTGCTGTCTCCATATCAGAGTTGGGTAGTTAAGTTATTTTAGAAAAGTAATCCAGTACAGTTACTAATTATCTGTTGAAAAATGTAATCAGTAACGTGATCCAAGTATATCAAAACTAAAATAATGTAACTAATTACTTTTAGTTATTTTTGGATTACGTCACTGCCAACTAAAGTCAAGAATAAAGAATTGTCACAAAGATCACTTTTTTATTAGGGACTAGAGTGTGTTGTTAAAATAATAATATATATACATTATTATATTATAGAATGCCATTGGGGGTTCCAGAATATGTCTCCACATGGCATTTTTTTCCCATTCTAGACACGGCAAAGAACAAGTAACACTACTTATACTACAGAATGCTGTTTGGCCAAATAATAATAATAGCAATGAGGAAATTATCATATCCTAAATGAAGGTTTTAGAACAATATTGTATGTGTTTTCCATGTGATTTGGGGATCTACAAATAAAACTCAAGTCATGTTATTTGGGCTATAAAAATAAAACTGAGTTAATGTGATTTGGGCTATACAAATAAAACTGAATTCATGTGATTTGGGCTATACAAATAAAACTGAAGTATGGTACAGTATTGTGTTAATTTGTAGTATTGAAATACTGGTAGCCTATGTGCCTGTACAGCTTTGTGTTAAGTGCATAATACTTTGCTAGCTAACTTTGAGTATCAATAACTATATCTCTGTAGCTAATGCTAGTGGCTAGTTTTATAGTCTTGCTTCTAAATGTCTCTTTAAATGTAACGTTTGACTTGGATGTTGCCAGTATTTTCACAGCGCAGTGACATAATGTGTATTGCACTGTGATGTCCCTCCCCCACCACTTAAAAGCAAAATAACTTTGACGGGCATCCACCTGTCACAGAAGCATAGCTCCCGTCAAGTGTGGTTAAAAAAAAACATAATAATCAGAAAAAAAGAGCAGAGCGATGGAGAAGGGTATGTCTGCGGCCTTTGTTGCAAAGAGACTTATGTTGACACATCTCGTGAGAGGTGCTGTTTACATAAAAAATAGCGTGACATCGGCTTCGCATTTTTTTATAAACACATCAGAAAGCCGTTCTTCGTTTTCAGATTTATTATAATATAATCTAAAAGTAATATTCCATTACTCCCCAAGCCTGCTCTATATAGGCCACAGTGTGGGAGTATGTGTCCTGTGCTTCCTGGGACAGGCTCCAGGCTAATGGTGACCCTGTACTGAAGGAGACGTTATAGAAGATACACTGATGAATCTGTAGTAATATGTAGCAAAAAGCTGTATGAACTCGGTACAGTCCAAGTTCATCTTAGTCACCCAAAATTATACATCCATCCCATTGTCTTCCTTAACCGCTTGTCGGCAGCATGTGGCTCAGTGGGCTAAGCTTCTGTGACTGTGGTTGTCGGTTGAAGCCCGGCCTCGGTGCGTCTGCGGGCCCTTGAGCAAGGGCCTCACCCCCCAGCCACCCGGGCGCTGCTATGAGTGGCTGCCTTTCACAGCCTGCTTGCTCTCACCTACAGAGAGCAGGTTGGGGGAGGCATAAAGAGAATTTCCCCAGAATATTCCATGACGACACTACCTTTCACCAGGAAGAATGTGGGCGTGGCCAGGAGAGGCACCACACTCATAAACACCAGAGAGGCTCCGTCCCCACAGAATCTGTGAGGAACGCTGTGGACACACTCTGCTAGCAGGCTGTAAGTACACCGTCTCTGTTGTATCACTGTGTATCTACCCAGAGCTCAAAGTGCTGCCGGCTTTAAAGGAGAAACTGCCGTTTTTTAACAATCATTTCTAATGTGAGCTGATTTGCATCACTGTGCACCTGGCTTTCACTGATGTTTTACTCAATGTATGTTGAGTACAGTGTAGTGTGTAGTGAAAAGATTGCTTTTCAGTGGTCACTTTGAGTAAAACTACTTTTTGGCCTTTGGCAAATTTATTTAATAAAAAATGGAATTCAGATTTACTGTATTTTGCTGTCTAAAGGGTCCAGTGGTTTCAGTTGTGAGTCAGCATAATGATGTTTTTAAACCCAGTGAACAGGCCAGACTGGTTTGAGCACTCTGGTCTTCTGAAGCTACCACAATGGGCAGCACTTGTAAAGTACACTTTAGGGTGGGATGTATTTGATTTGGGCTGATAGTAGAAACTCCAGCTATTCCCTTCACACACGCCGGACTCCATGCTGACTGATATGTTAACTGAAAATATATTCACCCATCTGACTCCTTTCTGATCCTCTGCTACTGGTTACTATTATACGGGACAGAGACAATTTCTGATTGACTATCATCATTAGGAGAAAGACACATACAAAGGATTAAAAGGGAGGAAACAGGTAAGAAGGGAAAGGGAGTGGCTCGGGCTAGCAGTGGTTATCATCTGTCACTCACTGCTACGATACTATTGTGTGCTGTCAGAGAAGCCCGTCATGTTTGTGAGGTAATGACTGCTCTCTCTCATCTTTTCAGCTTTCACAACTGAACATGTCCCATCACCATCACCACCACCACAACCATCATGGTAATTCTTAATTGCTGCCAGTGATTGCAGTGATTTCACTTTCTTGGAAGTGAACTTTAGAGATCGTCAGACCTGTTTCACCTCACTTTTGTTTCGGAATCCTGCAGGCCACAATATGGGTTTCCAGCCAGGAGGCTATGTGGCACCCGGAGCCTACGTCTCTCCCGGAGCCTACGTCTCTCCTGGGGCCTACGTGTCTCCCGGGGCCTACGTCTCTCCCGGAGCCTACGTCTCACCTGGAATAGGAGTGGTTCCACCAGGGGGTGTCGTACTACCAGCTTGCCCTCCTGCCCCATACCAACCAGGCGGTTATGAAACCTTTGGCACTGCATGGAATTATGAAAACCATCACGGTCATCATCACCATCATGGTCATCATCACCATCACTGATCGACTGAACCTCTTATTCATAGTGATTTATAGGGCTGCTACCATATTATGATAATGATATTGCAGTTATTAACAGCTAAACATTATTATTGATATTTTGGACTTTCTCTGCTGGCCTCAGGAGGTTGGGCTCTCCCTTGGAGTTTGGTTCCTCCTAAGATCTCTTCCTACTGGGGAGTTTTTCTCTGCAACTATCGCCTCTGACCTGCTATCTTGGGGCTTTTGGGGTATGTAAACCACTTTGAGACATAGTGTCACAATGCTGTGTATAAAAATAAATTGAATTTAATTAATTGTAATATCTGGGGTTCAGTTGTGAAGATGAAAATGTGTTATACCAACTTTATCTGCTTAATGTGTCCTCGTCAAACAAAAGGAGTAGCTTTATACAGCTTGATCTATTCTTAAATGTTTTATTGTTTGACAGCAGAAAGAATTTGAAAGAAACATGAAACTGAATTCACAGACCTTTTATTCAATTATTGAAAGTATGAAATAAAATATTACCTCTTATACAGACTACAGACCTCAGTGTTTGGAGACAGCTAAAACTATAATGATCAGATAGGATAATGTAAATTATTGAGAAGCACTGCATCAAATATTCATATGTATTCAAGCCACTTACACAGTGGAGGGTCATGGTTGGCCTGGAGTCTGTCCCATGAAACACAGGGCATGCTCACATGTTATGGGCAATATAAAGACACCAGCTGACCAAACTTCACGGGGGAAGAGACCCTCAGATCACAGGGAGAACATGCAAACTGCAAAGACAGAGGCAATCAATACCCAACTACGGGTGATTATAGGGACTCTGGGGGCCCTAGGCAAAAAACTCCACGGGGCCCTAAACTTACCCTCCCCCGATATGGTAAGATTAGCGTGAAGTCTAAATTAATAATATCAACAAAGAGAATTTAATAAACACAAGTCTGTTCTTTTCACGATTGTAAAAACTACACACAAATAAAGCAGATTTGTCATTGCAATGCACCATGCAATCGCCGCCATGGGGGTCCGTCCCAGATTGACACTCCAGACAATAGTCTGGCCTGCCTGCCTTGTCACTTCGCCTCTGTTACCACACTGAAGGTGAGAGGCTACAATGATCCACCATGGAACCTCTACTTCCTCACAGTAACCGTCTAATGTAAGAAACCAAAACAATGATTTTTCATGCCTGTTTTGCTCCTCTACACTGAAAACTCAGCTACTCACAAAATGCATCAATGTCAAAATAATCATTTTCTACATCCAGACAAACCAAACCAGGAATCAGGAATCATTTTCACAGTAAGAGCTACTTTTCCAAACAATATCATATACAAAGAGAATCATCCTCCACCTTTTGTTCCAACCAAGTTGTGAATAGTGTGGTTTTGAATTGTTTTTCTGTTCTTCCAAAAATTACCACACTACAGACCCAGTATATGGCAGATTCTCTAAAACAGGGTTATTCAACTCACGGTCCTCAAGGGCCGAGCCCTGCTGATTTTCCAGCCTTCCTTCACCTGTGAGCCAGGTGTGAAGCCACTGACCAATCAGAGACAGTAATTATCAAACTAACTACGTGGGAGAAGTGAAAACAAGGCCTGGATTTGGAATCGAGGGCCTGAATTGAATAGCCCTGCACTAAAACAACAAGAACGTATGGCGTCTGTGACGTAATCCTGTGTGCATCCTGATACAGTCACATGTATGTCCAGATGTGCTTTCACGCCCCAAACATACTCAGGGCTCCAGCACCACTTAACACTGGACATTCAGTGCTACTCATTCATATTTTTTCCACCTTTACTGTATTACTGATTGCAAGAAAAAATGCTAAAGATGCCGCAGTTTTCTTGGTTCATCATTTTAATACAGACAGTGTTAGTGATTGATGATCATCGAGAAGTCGGTGAGAAAATGGGGGTTCCAGTGTGCAACACTATGGTGATACGGACGTAACTGAATTTACAGTGGCCAGAGAAGGCCAGTGGCCAGACTGAGTTACCATTTGCTCTCGTGGGAAGTCTCCGTCCTGACCTGCCCTCTCCCTGCCTCAGGATCCTCATACTCAAGGAGGCCACCCTTTAAATTCACACACCACACCTACACACAGCACCTTTGGGGAGGGTCTTTTGGGGTATAAGCAAGGACCTTACTCAGCACTGAAAGCAACCCAGGCGATCACCCTTCCCTTACCAGATGGGGACTGTAAGTCCCGTCTTCCAGTCAGCTGAGATGATGCCTGACTCCCAAATGGAAACAAAGATTGCCTGCAATGCCAAGAGGACAGACTTACCGGCAGTCTGGAGAAGTTCACCCTGCATACCACAGATCCCTGCGGCCTTCCCTACCCCCAGCGGATTCACTGCCTGTGCAATCTCAGTGAGCTTCATCTGTAAAATACAAAGTCATAGCTCATCCAAATTCCAAATGATTCTAACATGAATAGAAGAGATGTATTTTAATCATATTTCAACAGTGAAAGCTATGCCACATCACAAAGCATATGGTTTAAATAAGAAATTTGAGAAAGACATGCGATCAAAATTAGAGAATGATTTGTTATTCTTGGCAGTTCTTGCATCTAATCTGAAATATCTTGAAATATCTGGCATCCCCAGTCTATCTGATAACATTGGTAGGCATTCTGCAAGATGGTGGACCTCTTCAAGGTGCCTGAGGCCATGTGGCATCAGGTTGTTCAGATGAAGGCTAATTGGACGACCCTCTGGAAGAGAAGCTAATCATTACTAGAGCTTAATTTCTCAAATACTGAAGCAGTACAATAAAACTGTCATTCTAGTGAAAAAAGTATGGTTACCCACATATGACGCGAGCACAAGTGGACAAGATGATGGGGAGACTTTCTTTTATAATATTGTTGTAAATAAAAACAAAATTCTGCAATTGGTTGGCACCCCATCCTGGGTTATTCCCTGCTTTGGGCCTGTAGCTTCCTAGATACACTCTGGAGCCACACGAACCAGCATAAGACAAACTTGCCCGTGTTCTCCCGTCCTGTGTTCATCCCTGCCCAGTTCTGTTCTGTGGACGTCTGGCCTGTCTGGTCTACCCCTATATTACTTCCTGTCTCTTCTGTACCCCGGTCTTTGCTGTTTGGTTTTCGTACCTGGCCCCATTTGCTTGTTTAATGCTTTTGATGAAACTTGATAACTCCAAGCACTGGTGATATTGCACAAAAGTATATCGGTTATCAATGAAGTTTCCTTTGAAGAAATATGGATATGCAAGCAAAAAGGTATTCATTACTGTATTCAATGTAATTGATGTACAAAAATAATCCACCTGCTTGCTTTTTGCTCCGCTAATTCTATGTCTTTTTCCCTTCACTTCAACGTAACTTCCACGTTAGCGCTATGGAACATGACGAATGATGACCTAGGGATCTTAGACCGACTTCCTTGCCTGGGAAACCTTGTTTGAAACTTGAATAGACATGAAAGGTACTATGGTGTCCCGGAACCTTGGCCAGTTACAGTCACTGCCTGTTGCAAGTGTTCCAGAAGCCACTCTACTCTATAAATGACAAAATCCTCATTGACAGCATCACTTTCTACCCACAGGAGCAACGAGGGTATTTCTTGCCTTACTATTGCTCCGAAAGATATTTTGAAGTGAAGCAGTACATAGAGTAAGAGAGGCACAGCTGGGGTGCAGTGGCTGTCGCCTCATCGAGTACATCTTTAGTGATTGTCTCAGTCCTTTTTCTGTGATTGCTACAACTGCAATTGAACAGTGATTACATTTCCAGGTGGCCTCTGTCTCTTAGTATGTCCTTTTTGAAAATGAAAATGAGCCGATTCAGCAGAGCAAGGATGACCATTGCATTTCAGTGTCATGTGGGACAATTTCATCATTAAATTGTGTGTAATATAAACCCTTCAATTTGTTTTTCTGCATGGTAGTTAAATAAGATGCAAAGCAATGGAATGATGGCTTTGCTTTGTGGCACGTTCTCCTCACGACAGTCACTGATAAGCCTCTTGTGCAATGCATTTCCACATGGCACAGTTTCTGCGTTACAGTATGTGCACTGTAAAATAATACATTGCATTGATTGTTTTCCTCCGCATGCCCAAAGCCACGTTTACATTTCAAGGTGGCACAAAATCCTCTCCATATAGCAGTGGTGCTTGTGGTCAACCAATCAGCAAGATCTCACAGCACCTCCACAGAGTGGAGGACGTAACTGCAGTTCCTGCAGTGGGAACACGACAGAAGTTCCTGATTCTGGGAAAAGGTTGCTACGGTGGGAAAGTGCCTTTTCTTGCATACACACACAGACACACACACACAAGTTTGTAATTGTAAGTTTGTGGGGACTCTCCATTCATTTCTATGGGGAAAACTCTAATCCCAATATGATGACCTTAAGACCCACATAGCCCTAACCATACCCATAAGTAACTAAACAAAATACAAGACTTTTGGCATTTTTAGTTTATTGATTGCATTCACAGATCTTTCTGGGGACCTGAAAAATGGTTCCAATAAAGTCAAAACAACAGGTTTTAATCTGCAATCAAAAAACTAAAAATGCCAAAAGTCTTATATTTTGTTTAGAAGCAGTCTGCATGCCTAAGGCACTTGATTTTATACACCTGTGGCTAAGCAGGTGATCAGAACACCTGAATGCAATGATTTGGAGGGGTGTCCCAATAGTTTTGGCAATATATATATATATATATATATATATATATCCGACTGCGGATGGTCACAGTTGGTGCCACCAGATCAACAGAGGACAGATGGCAAATGTATTGCAACAAACAGAAATACAAGGAATGTTGTGAAATGAATAAACTTTTCTGGACAGATTTAAAGTTATTAGTCAAGTTTGGGGCAGTATTACAGTAATAAGGCATACCATTTTATTTTGAAATCCTTACAACAAAATTACCTGGGGGGGGGGCACTGTTGCCTCATGCCTCTGGGACCTGGGTTCAAGTTTCTGCAAGGGTTCCGCGTGTGGAATTTTCATGTTCTCCCTGTGTCGTCACAGGGTTTCCACCGAGTACTGCAGTTCCTCCCCCCCAGTAAAAAGACATGCTGAGGCTAATTGGAGTTGCCAAATTGCCCATGGGCATGCATGTACATGTTTATGGTGTGTGAGTGCGCAATGGGTTATTCCCTGCCTTGCACCCACAGCCTCCAGCATAGGCTCCAGATCCCCAGCTACCCTGAATATGACAAACAGTTTCAGACAATTAGACAGGACCATCCTGCTTGATGAATTTTATCACCAATATTGTCATAGTGCTGCTTTTTAAAATACCATATACCTCTGGACAGAATGAAAAATGAGACATGCGGGTACCTCCAACCCTACTCATACAGCTGCTCACCATAACTACTGCAAAGCCTCGAAGCTGGGAGGCAAAGCTTGCGGTCATGCAATGTCACTTGACCGATGACATCCGACTCATCCTGAGGTGTCAGAGGATTCGAACCCTGTCAGCTCTTCAAAAGTTTTCTAAACTTTTTTTTGCCAGCTGAAGAGATTGCTATGTGGTTTGTATTACATACAATACCTCATACCATTAATTAACGAAAGTGGCTCTGAAAATGACAAAAGGTGATGCTCCAGGCAATGATGCTCCAGGCAATACTAGGTTTGATGTCAATAACCCGACTAGCAATGGTAAGACAAAAAGGTACTGAAATCCATGAACTAACAAGGAGTGGCAACATCAGGTGTGGCCACGTGAAGGAGAAGACATGAGGGTCAAGCAGACATGGCGGGCAGACGTGACACTGAGCCTGTGTGAAAGGGAGAAATGGCTGGTGAACTTAACATTGAATTTTACATGCGGCAAAACTGCTGGTTACGTTTTTTTTTTTTTAGCATACATCTGAAAAGGTTTATTCGAGTTTTCGCATGTTCGGCGCTCTACTGTAAAACAAGGCGGGAAATTCACACATTATAATAATCCATTTAAAAAAGCGTTGGTGTGGCTTCTTGCATGGGCAGAAGCCCCCATTGACCAATTACAATTGATAACTGCACTACCCCCAAAATCTACTGGACGACTGGATTGAGTAATTATTCCTGCATTAATGAAAAGTGTATTAAAATCATCTACTATGTTTTGTTTACCCTTAATTTTACCTTGATTTATTACTAGGTACAGACCACCTCCGAATGTGGTCTGAGCAATCGGATCTCAATGCATCTTCAATGCACTTTGGGTGTGTTTACACCCTGTAATTAGAGCAACAAAACAAGCCTGAAAAGTCGTTGTTTTGGTTTCATACATTAGGCAGTTACTGTAAGTAAGTAGAGGTTCCATGGTGGATCACTGTAGCCACTCACCTTCAGTGTCGATAACAGACGCAAAGTGACAAGACAGGCAGGCCAGACAACTGCCTGGGGTGCCGAGCTGGGAGGGGGTCCCCAAGGGCGGTGATTACATGGTACATTGCAATGACAAATCTGCATAATATCTGTATTGTTTTTCATAAAAGTGAAAAGAAAGGACTTGTGTTTATTAAATTCTCTTTGTTGATATTAATTTAGACTTCATGCTAAAATAATGGTAATAAATTTTACCATATCGGGGGAGGGTAAGTTGGAGGGCCCCGTGGAGTTTTTTTGACTAGGGCCCCCAGAGTCCCTATAATCACCTGTGGTTGGGTATGGATTGCCTCTGTCTTTGCAGTTTGCATGTTCTCCCTGTGTTCTGAGGGTCTCTTCCCCCATGAAGTTTGGTCAGCTGGTGTCTTTATATTGCCCATAACATGTGAGCATGCCCTGTACTTCCTGGGACAGACTCCAGGCCAACCATGACCCTGCACTGTGTAAGTGGCTTGAATACATATGAATATTTGATGCAGTGCTTCTCAATAATTTACATTATCCTATCTGATCATTATGGTTTTAGCTGTATTATAGTTTTAGGGTCCATGGTGTGTCTCAGAGGTAATACTTTTAATAATTGAATAAAAGGTCTGTGGATTCCATTTTACATTTCTTTCTAATTCTCTTTATTCTGTCAAAATAAACAAACAAATTAAAAACTGATTAAGCTGTATATAGAATCTACTTTTGTCTGAGGAAGACACATTAAATTTATACAGTAGGGATAACACATTTTCATTTTTATCTTCACAGCTGAACCCCTGATATCCATTAAATGGTGTTTAGCTGTTGAAAACTGCAATGTTCTGATCACAATATGGTAGCAGCCCCATAAATCAGTATAAGTAAGAGGTTCAGTGAATCAGCCTGATACCAGTTTGACAGCCAGTGAACTAAAACAGTTCAGTTCAGTAGTCTGTAAATCACAAACGACAGAACAGTAAAATTCACTTCTAGGTTCAGTAAGAGGCTTTGTAATAAATCAAAGAGGAAGTGTTAGAAGTATTAAAAGCAGAAGAGTTTCTGTGGACGGTCCTTGAGTTAAGCAGCCCCATCTGTTCTCTTGAGTTCCTCTTATGGTCTAGTCCGAGTCACTGCAGCAGCCGCAGTGCTACAGAAAAACACATCACATGACACATCACACACTGCCAGGGCTACTGCCAGTGCATGTTAATTCCTGTACCTTTGAATTCCTGATTTACCTGATGGTGACAATGACCGTGATGGCGACCAAAATGGAGCCCACGACCACGACCACGACCACGACCACGGCCGTGGCAATGATGGTGCCTCTGTTCACATTGAACAGACAGACCATAAGCTGGAACACCACCTGGGTGGTATGGGGGAGGAGGGCAAGCTGGTGGTGGGGCTGTCCCTGGTGCTAGGATAGTCCCTGGTGGTAGGACGGTCCCTGGGGGATACCCCCCCGGTCCAGGTGGAAGGTAGGGCCTTGGTGGACCATTGGGCCCAGACTGAGGCCAGGATCCAGGCGGGGGGCCGTATCCAGGTGCCGGATAGCCGCCTGGTGGGAGACCTGAATTGTAGCCTGCAGGATAGCAAAACAAGTTCAGTGACGAAAAGGCGAAACAGGCCTGATCATTTCTAAACTTCACTTCCAAGAAAGTGAAAACATTACAGTCGAAGCTACTGCATTGCAGCTTTCCCTACCAAGGAATCTTTGAAGGGTTTTGCAAAAGCTGCAGATGACACATGAAAGCCAGCAAATGTCACACAAAAGCAACTCATAAATGCATAAAATATATATGTAGTGCCGGTTTAGAGGATGCCAGGTGTGTTTACTTAACAGTAACCCTAATGCAGTACACTGTACTGTATGACCAGACACTGTACTCTACGGAAGCCGAGAACAGTGGTGCTTGCAATTATTTTTTATGCCGTTATCTCGAGATAACAAGCCTTGTTTTCACAAGATAAAGACATAATTTTCTGTGAATAATTACAAGGATAAACATATTAGGTGCTTTCGCACCGAAGTTCCAAAACCTGGTCCCGGTTTATAAGTCCCTGGGCTGTCTCAAGCAGGCACTTTTGAAACTCCTGGACACTTTCGTGAGTTAGTTTCACACAGGACAACACAACTGGGACCTTAACGCTAAATCAGCTTGAGAGATGCAAAAAGCTCGTAGGTTAAACTTCACATATAATTTCAAATGATACTACACCGCCACTCCAATACAATGCAGGATAAATAAGTTGTTTTGTTTGTTATTTGTTAGTTATTAGGAGGATTGATCACGATCAAATGGGATATATATTTTACTTATATATCTAACGATTTGTTCATGATTCTTTTTAATTCTGACCAGCAGATCGATCTTTTCCGCTGGATAAAAAAAAAAGATGTAATGTTATCCCCCGAATAAGCACTGGCAAGTTTCAACACCAGCAGTGGCAATAATAGACAAAAGTATATTGGTTAGCGATCGAATTTTCCAATGCAGGAATTAGGAATTAGCAAAATGTATTAATTGATGCATTAAATGTAATTGAGGTACAAAAATAATTCCATCTGCTCAATTTTTTTTACACTTTCGTTAAAGTTAACCGTGGCACTTGTGGTCCAACCCATCAGCAAGCTAAGGCTGTAAGCGCGTCCTCAGCAGTTCATGTTTCAAAGAAAAGTACCTCGTCTAGAGTAGGTACTAAAAAAGGGTTCTGGAACTCCGAAGAAATACAATTGGGCTACGTTCCTGTGGTGTGAACACGATAAAAGTCGAAACAGCCCAGGGACTTGTAAACCGGAACCAGGTTCTAGAAAAAGGTTCTGCCATCCATCCATCCATCCATTTTCTGCTGCTTATCCAGGGTTGGGTCACGGGGGCAGCAGTCTAAGCAGGGAGACCCCTGCCTCTATACTACACCTAACCCTCACGGCTCCCCCTGCAGGTGGTGGGCCTACAGGGGTGTGAACCCATGTTACCCCTTTGCGTGATTCCCGGCTGGGCCCCATTGGTGGAGATCCAGTCACCAGACGCTTGCCTTCGAGTTCCCAGCCCAGGTCTGGCTCCAGCTTGAGGCCCCAGTCTCCCCAGTTCGGGCAGGTAACATATTCCTTGGTTTTATCATATGGGTTAATATGAACTGCACTTAGTCTGGCTTCTCACATAGGACCAGTTTGCTTTGGGAGACCCTACCAGGAGCATTTGCCCCCGATATCATAGCTCTTAGGATCTTAGAGGCACGCAAACCCCTCCATCACTATATGGTGGCAAATCATGGAGGGGAAAACCACCTGAACACCTGACGGCTTACAGATCTGCTCTAACGGCTGCACGCTCATCATACTACTCTACTCTTATTAACAGTGCTTCAAGCCGACATAGAACACTCTTTTCTACAGTAAATAAGTTATGTCAGTCTCCAGTTAAAACTACCATTGCTTCTGATGAGCGCTGTAACTCATTTATGAAATATTTTCAGTCTAAAATTGAAACTTTGTATAATTCCTTTTCTGCAACCCCTCACCCACCTCCATCAACCACCATCATACCACAACCCCCTGCCCACTCATTATCAGAATTTGTTCCCTCCTCTCCTGCTTCTATTAATCAATTAATCAGGAAATCGAGTCCATCTACGTGTCAGTTGGACCCTGCTCCTACTACACTTATAAAGAACTGTTCAGACACTCTGTCGGTACCCATCTCACATTTAATAAACTGTAGTCTTGCTACTTGTACTGTCCCACCAGAATTGAAAATTGCCACTATTACACCTGTTATAAGCCTGGTCTAGACTCATCTCAGCTAAAGTTTTACAGGCCAATCTCTAATCTTCCCTTCCTGTCTAAGGCATTAGAAAAGGTTGTTGCTGTTCAACTTATTGATCGCTTAGACGCTTATAATTTGTATGACCCATTTCAATCCGGTTTCAGAACCCTACACAGTACAGAAACGGCTTTACTTAAGGTGACAAATGATCTTCTAATGGCTGCAGACTCTGGAAAGGCCAGCATTCTTCTCCTTCTTGACTTAAGTTCTGCATTTGACTATGTTAACCTTAAAATCCTTCTCCCCCGCCTCACTGATATTGGTATTACTGGTGCTGCTCTTACCTGGTTTACATCGTACCTCAGTGACCGACAGTATTTTGTTTCCATCAAGTCACACAAATCTGATACTGCTCCTCTCACACAGGATGTCCCCCAGGGATCAGTTCTAGGCCCAACACTTTTCACCATCTATATCAGGGGTCTCCAACTCCAGTCCTGGAGAGCTACTATCCAGTAGGTTTTCTGTCCCACTTGGCTTCTGATGAGCCACACCTGGTCCTGGTATTTACCTGAGAACAGGTGTGGCTTATCAGAAGCCGGGTATGATAGAAAACCTACTGGACGGTAGCTCTCCAGGACCGGAGCTGGAGACCCCTGATCTATATGCTTCCCTTAGGTCAAATTATACGTCACTATGGTCTCAGCTTCCATTGCTACACTGACGACACTCAATTATATGTAAGTGCTGACACTAGTACATCTGGTACAGACTGCATTTTTCCAACTCCGCAATATCTCTCGCCTCCATCCACCCCTCAGTGTTGCGGATACTACAACACTAATCCATGCCTTCATCACTACCCGCCTTGACTACTGTAATGCATTGCTTTCTGGCCTCCCATCAAAACTTCTGAACAAACTACAATATGTTCAGAACTCTGCTGCCCGTTTGCTAACACATAGGAGAAGATCCGCCCACATCAGCCCGATTCTTCATGAATCTGTCACTTACAGAATCAAATATAAAATTTTATTAATCACCTACAAAGCTCTCCATGGNAGAAGATCCGCCCACATCAGCCCGATTCTTCATGAATCTGTCACTTACAGAATCAAATATAAAATTTTATTAATCACCTACAAAGCTCTCCATGGACTTGCCCCTCACTATCTGTCTGACCTTCTTCTTCCATACACCCCTGCTCTCACACTAAGATCATCGGGCTCCAATCTTCTTACCGTACCTAAATTCAGATTATCCTCTGTGGGTGGCAGGGCGTTCTGTGTGACAGCACCTGCACTATGGAACACACTTCCTCACAGTCTGCGAGACATACAGTCACTTAGCATTTTCAAGCTTCAGTTGAAAACTCATTTATTCCACAAATGCTATAATGTAACTGCTACGACGTAACACTCCTGATGTTGTTCTGTTGTTATTGTTGCTGTTGCATGTGCAATGTTTTCTGTATCATTGTTTGCATTGTAAAGCGTCCTTGAGTGTGAGAAAGGCGCTATATAAATAAGACTTATAATTACTATTATTTAATATTTGTATCGGTTTATTTAACTTTGAAACTAATAAGTGTTGTACCAGTGCTGTGTTTTACCATGAGGTGCATGTCATGTGCTGTCTTTCTCTGTGGTCCTGGGAAATGCTATGTCATATCACTGTACACAACGTGTAGATAATATGATATTGAAACGCTGAAATTTGATATATAGAAACCTTCACACCCACATTCAAATCTAAACAAATTGTCTGAATGCTTGGGGGATATTCCACTTAAGGAATTGTGCTAAACTGTTCCATCTACGCAATGGCAGACATACAGAGCTATGCTTAGATATCAAGGTAAAATGAACAGTATATAAGCTGCAAATCCTTTGAAAACACGTATCTTACGCTGCCACACCGCTGAATGATTCTGTTTTCATGAGAAAATGAGACTTGATATCTCAAGATAGTTGTCTTGTTTACTCGGGAAAAATAAAATAAAAATAAAAATAATCGCAAGCACAGCCGTTCTTGGCTTCCATACTTCTCATATTTATTTCATACATATTTTTTTTATAATTCTGACATGTTTTTACTTAAAGCTGCCCTTCATATATGACCAAACACCCACCCCAAATGGCACTAAAAATATCACCCCCAATAATGAACAAATTCAAAACTTTTCCGCCAGCCACCCACGGAACCCTCACTTCATCCGTCAAGGGGACTAAAACATTTAATGTGGTTTTTCCTGATAGTGGGGGCCTGCACCCCTAACCCACAATGTGGAAGGGTCAACTGTACAATGATTAACAACAAATAAGAATTACCTTGATTATAACCGGACATGTTCAGATGTGAAAGCTGAAAAGGGGAGAGAGAGAGCAGTCATTACCTCACAAACATGACGGGCTTCTCTGACAGCACACAATAGTATCGTAGCAGTGAGTGACAGATGATAACCACTGCTAGCCCGAGCCACTCCCTTTCCCTTCTTACCTGTTTCCTCCATTTTAATCCTTTATATGTCTCTTTCTCCTAATGATGATAGTCAATCAGAAATTGTCTCTGTCCCATATAATAGTAACCAATAGCAGAGGATCAGAAAGGAGTCAGATGGGTGAATATATTTCCAGTTAACATATCAGTCAGCATGGAGTCCGGCGTGTGTGAAGGGAATAGCTGGAGTTTCTACTATCAGCCCAACTCAAATACATCCCACCCTAAAGTGTACTTTACAAGTGCTGCCCATTGTGGTAGCTTCAGAAGACCAGAGTGCTCAAACCAGTCTGACCTGTTCACTGGGTTTAAAAACATCATTATGCTGACTCACAACTGAAACCACTGGACCCTTTAGACAGCAAAATACAGTAAATCTGAATTCCATTTTTTATTAAATAAATTTGCCAAAGGCCAAAAAGTAGTTTTACTCAAAGTGACCACTGAAAAGCAATCTTTAAACACTACACTGTACTCAACATACATTGAGTGAAACATAACAACCAAGCCAGGTGCACAGTGATGCAAATCAGCTCACATTAGAAATGATTGTTAAAAAACGGCAGTTTCTCCTTTAAAGCCGGCAGCACTTTCAGCTCTGGGTAGATACACAGTGATACAACAGAGACGGTGTACTTACAGCCTGCTAGCAGAGTGTGTCCACAGTGTTCCTCACAGAGTCCGCGGGGACGGAGCCTCTCTGGTGTTTATGAGTGCAGTGCCACTCCTGGCCACTTCCAGATTCCTCCCACCGCGATCATGGTGAGGCAGTGTCTGAAAGGGGACGTACTGTAGCTATGAAATATTTGGGTATTATTATCTTAATTTTTTATTATTTGCATGGTTATTGATGTGATTATTATTGTGGCTATTCTTCTTGTTCTTGTTGCTTTGTGTATGTGGGCTATCTATATACAGCATATAGACAGGAGTTCACCTAACCCAGTGATTCTCAAAGTGTAGGGCGCGCCTCCCCTGGGGGGTGCCATGGCACTGCAGGGGGGCACGAAGCACAACTAATCCCAGGTTGAGGATGTGCTAATGTGTTGTGGACCTAGAGCACGTGAGCAGAGAAGAAAACAGTTTAGGCTAAAATTAAAGCAATGCAGATTTTTTTTCTTTGAACGAGCAGTGAGAGATTTCATTGGAGCGTCGTGAAAATAGACTGAAGCGGGGAGCGATTTCATTGGAGCGTCGTGAAAAGGGACTGGAGCGGGGAGGGATAATGAGCGGAGCGGTCTGCAACGGCTGTGAACAGGAAAGCGGGGTGAGCTTACCGCTCTATGTGCACTGAGCGGAAATTTTGTCAGTGAGCTGTCTGCTCATACATCATGTATATAATAGTTTTATTATCTTGTAAGTAAGATGTAGGGTTTTTCGACTGCAGGAAGAAACTGGTGTATGTGGAGAAAATACACCGAAGAGGAGCTTACATTCAACACCCCACCTATAGAGC